GTTGAAGCTATGGCAAGCCACTTATTTCTGTCCTTGGGGCAACTGATTCCTCCTTGGGGAAACTCTCTGTGTCCATAATTGTTTCCGTCCACCTAGGAGTAAAGGATTTGATTTTCGATTACACTGATAAATCAATTGTTAATTTGTAAGATGCATGTGTCTATACCTGGTGGAGATGCTCTAGGATGGACAACACAACTTCAAACTTACAAGCAAATCAAAAGATTTATTAATTACACAGCAAAATTATGGATTTCGGAGTCTGCTGTATGATCCAAAATTATTTTGAAAAATGCAATAAACTAGGCCTAACATATCTGGAAGTGCCCTGCTCATAGTGTAATTTAGTAGTTTATTATAATATTCTAACCCAGAAAATATTTTTTGAGAGAGGAAAATCTGCTAAAATTACTGAAATAAGCAAATGTCAAAAAAAGAATTGAACTACTGTAATAACGTAACTGTAACTGTAATTGACATTGATGTTAACGAGTGTGTGGTGATATTGAAAGAGGTGGTTTCCTCTACTAATTCACTTAAGTTCGGGGGTTTGACCACTTCCTACCTGGACCAGGTCTTATGGGAATGCCGCTTATGGGACAAGATATTGGTCATGTTGGGCTTACCGTACTAAACACACTGGAAGTATAATTTAAAATGTGTTATTTTAAAAGTGTGACAGACAATAATATGACATACTGTACTGTACCGGGTGTATAGTATTGAATTGTTAATTATAATAAATTAAGGTAAACATTGATATTACAAGTATATATAATAACTTAGAAACATTATACAGTACAAAGGTTGTTAAGTATAGTATAGTTTCATATTACATGTAATTAAGTTTTTATTTGAGTTATGCATCGTAATAATGCAAGTTCATGGCTAATTTTTAGAATTGTTACAAAAAATATTTGGTAACTTTATGATTTTTAAAGGTGTTTAAATGCTGAAATTTCACCTTTAAAGGAATAGTGTTGAATTAGCTATCACAAAGATATTTCAGTTATAGACATAGATTGCGCACAGCTACGGTCACCGGGGTTGAATTTCCTCAAAATGCTCCAACAGCAAATATTTGCTGTTGGGTCATGGCTTTACTCCAAGCATTTTCTTCCCTTCTACAGCAATAATTAAACTGGTTTTTTTTTTCATGATTTGTATCAATATATACTGTATTATTATTACATAATGAAGCATTTTACAGCTGTATATTTATTTATTTATTTATTATAATAATAAAAACAAAAGCCCAGATTAACAAATATAATGCATTATGAATTCCTAGGGTAGGCACATCATCAAAGTATATGAGTATGCAAATCATGCTCTGGTATTGTTTGTTAAATTATTTAACTGTCGTTACACAATGATTGAAATATAATTTTACTAACAAAAAACAGTACTATCATTTTACTCATCATCCAAGTCATCTTCAGAGTACAGTAGGCTACAGAATCGGTAAAAGTCAATACCATCTACCCCTAGAGTATGATCTGTGTCATCATCGACTTTGTTGGCGTGCCTTGGCCCATATGACTTGGGGTTATTTCAAAGATCAATGATCGAATCCAAGGAAATCATATCCCCGTCCTCGGAGAGTTGCCACTTTCACTGTATGAAAAGGCATATTACTCACCTTAAATATATGTTCATTATCAAAACGCATGTAATTTATGCTACAGTATTAAAACTCAGTACTCGCCCCTATAAAAATGGAACAGTCTAATCCTTGCGGCCGGATGGATGTGAAACATGTTCTTGACAGGTGATCATGTGACCAAACATTTTGTCTTATGATTTTTTTGTAACGATATTAATTTAGCAAAAAACAATTAATAAACTGTAAAATATAATAAACAAACGTCCTTAAAATAATTTGGATAACTACACATAGGCCCTGGACGAAATTATGAATTCTATAAGAATTCCGAAAACTTTTACTGTACATTGTTTGGTAGTGGTATTTTGCCCACGACCAGGTGTGTTATGTCTGGATGCATTATGTCTGGCTGCAGGAAAACCTTATCGGAGTTAGGTGGCGGCCCGCATTTATCTGTGTGTAAGAGTTCTCAGCTGTGTCGGTGTCCGAAACGTTTTACATGGCAACAGAACAGGTCTGGCCCATGGTCCTGTGTTTCTGAACGGACTAATTGAGAATCGAACATTTTTATATTTCTAGGCTAGGCCTGTACAGTATGCAGAACTTTGATTGCTATTTTATTTCAGTTTGGTAATTTTTTCAATGGCAAAATGTTGCCATTGAAACCGGTTCTTACTACAGCAGAACATGACCTTTTCAACGGCATTTGCCGTCGGGAATTTCGATCCCTGGTTACTCACATAATGTTTCTAGGCTATGCATACATCTTCATCTCTCGCCTTAGTCTAGTGAGTGTAACCTACTCTGAGAGATAGGCCTGCCTAGACCTACTGTATTTTGTTGACTAATAAAATTTAACTTGTGACATTAACAACAAATCTTTGTTACGGTATTTCATGAATTAATTATAACCAGAAAGTACGTACACCAACAATATTATGTTGGGGAACCGAACCTCAAGTATTCTATTTGTAGAGCCATGTGCATGGGTTGTGTTGGCAACTCAGAACCGTCCATTTTCCAGCGTGTTATAAATGTTCTTAACACAACGCGTGTTGTAAGTGTACTTTCACCGGGTAGGCAATGGTTAAGTCTTAAGCCGCAATCGCACTGGATTTAAAATAGGGAAATTTTTACCGAGACTGTGGGTAACATTCCAATGGGTAAACTTCCTGTCGTTCGCACTGGGATTTATCGACGTGGTTAGTTTTACCACAGGCCATGGTGAAACCATGGTGAAACTAACCATTCGTACAGATTCAACTATTAGAGCGCTAAATCGTGACGTTCACTTCCGGTATGTGTGGCAAAACAATTAACGAAAGCGACGTTCTCCTTCTTGTTGTGACAGTGTTTCTTTGGACTAGGCCCACATCATGTTGTATTTGTTGATAATCGCGATGGATTGTCTCACCAAGACCTAGCACATTTATTAATGCTCCATATAAATCGGCCATTGAAACAAACCGAGTAAACAAGTGAAAAAAATGACGAAATTACTCAAAATCAAGACACTAGCAAACACGCGCGAAATTAATCAAGATGTTTGTGTGTGACGTTTTATTCCAGGTCACAGCTCATGCGTAATTGCCTGACAGCCTGAGGAAGGTCATTCACTGTGATGACTTGGGAAGTTTACCCGACTCGCGCAGTTCGCATTGGACTTTCCTGCTAGGTAAAACTAACCTGGTCAGTTTTCCTGGGCAAGCGGGACTCGGTTAAATTAACCGCGTGGCTTGGGTAAGTTTCCTGTCAGGTAAACTTCCTGTGCTGTTCGCACTGGACTAATTATGGTAAAACTAGCCAACGTGTTGGTTAGTTTTACCAAAAAAAGTCCAGTGCGATTGTGGCTTTACATTATTGGGAATCCACACCGAATATTGGTATAAAAAACAATGTACATTCAAACAATAAAGGTTGTTTTTATCAAATTTACGTATGATTTACCTTTAGTTTTTGTTTCAGCCTCAGTGTTCTTATAAAATGTGTTCTTATAATATAATACTTTCCCTTTTTTCTGTTTTAATTTAAGTAATTTAAAGTGGCAAGTCATTTATCCAGTACTATGGCATATGCATAATATAGGCCAGGTGTTAAAACTTAATGCTAATTAGTTGTTGAATGAAAAATGCAATTCCACTCTGCTAAATTCGGTAAGACAGTCTCGCACCTTTCACTGTTGTAATTACTTGCTTGACTTGAAGATAATTTTAATTAAATTGTTACAGTTATAATTAAAATTTTGCATGTTAAATTAATAAAAACGTTTCTTGTACTTGTTGTGATTATGTTGTTAAATTTGTTTTCTATTGTTCTAAAATGTTTGATAAATTTATATTTTGTAATAAAAGCAAGTTATAATTAACTGGAATAATAGCCACAGTGTGTGTGAAACAAAGTAAAGTAGAATCCAAAACCAATGATAGAGAGTTAGCACAGAATGGATTTTGTAAAGGTAAAATAAACTTTTGATATTTAAAGATTTAAAATAATGTACAATAGCATTTTTATGAAATATTTCCAATTAAAGGTTCATGTACAATGAATTATGATCATTTTGAAGTAAAGTACTTTAATGACCATAAAGAGACATGTGGCCAGTGGTCCTGTATGTAGGTCTTGGACCTCAAACGGAATTGGACTCAGTGGAATATCTAGGAGTCTCGAAATGGGTGGGGGAATGGAGGCTCAATGAATAACAGAGAAGCGGAGGGGATGCTACAGTACAGTAGCTTGCAAAATGAGGTGATATGAGGTGATTTTTAACTACTTGAGCATAATTTTTTTGGCTTCGGATTTTTCAGTTGGTGGGGAAAGGGGGAAAACAGGGGTGAAAACTATTTTTAGGGGCTCCTGCACTTCCTAGATACTGTTTACCACTGATTGGAATGATCATGCATTCGAGTCATATCTGATGCTTGTCACATTACCGGTACTTAATAAAAATTTAATAATATTAATTCTGGATTTATATAGCACCTCACGTAGACACAACCTCGAGGCGCTTAACAACAACAGAGTGTCCTTGGATCACTACATCACTGTACCTTTCTACCATATTTCTACCCAGTTTGGTATGATATGGGTACTGTACTATACATGGTAGGATATATGAGTGATGTGGAACAAAATTGGGTAGTGGTTGTATTACCCGCATGGCCTCGAGTACTTTTCAGGAAGTAGAGTTTTGTGCAAGGTATGATTGATTCAGTATCCAGTGAACAGAAAAAGCACCTTCATCATTTCTTTCTGGAAGTGTTTGCTATAGAGTAGATTCTATAGTACCATACCAAGTAATAATGATACTAAGTAATGGCCAGAATCGTCAATGTAAAAGAGTAACATTCCATATTTAGATTTATGACTTTCATTTTCCTGTTTTTCTCTTTTTCAGAGCTGTGGTTATAACATTATTACGATATGAAGCCATGCCAAATATTGGCGATAACAAAGGTAGCACGCCGTTGCACTTAGCTTCTTGGAATGGCCACTTGGAAATAGTTCGTCTTCTTATCTCCAAAGGAAATAAAGCAACAGTGAACATACAGGTAAAAGCACTCTGCAATAACATTTGTATAATTTGATATATCTTGCAATTACTTGAGGTATTTACATTTGTCGTGCCATTCAGCCGTATAGCGTAATTATCAGTAGAATCTCGGAGGCTGTTTAATTGTCATGCTGATGTTACACACTGCCTTTTACTACAGTAAGAATTCATGAGGATACACTGAAGTGAAGTAGAACTACACAACTCTATTTTACGCATCATTTCGAAAATGAGTTGTAAAGTTGCTTTTCATTGTTCAGTCTCTTTTTTTTTTGCAAATACAATACTGTACATACTGTACTCGGATAATGAGACTTGTGCCATTTTGTTTTTAATGTGCGAACACTCACTGAACAAAAGCTAAAAGCATGGTAATTGTTATTGCCATCAGAGTTGTGCCAATAGGAAATCAAAACATTTTTTTTTTGGTTGTGTTTTGCTAAAGTTGCATTTTTTTATGTACAGATCCAGAGGTTTAGAAAAGGGAGAGTTTGTAGGGACGATAGGGAAATTCCTCCCCTATAGAAGTAGGAAATGTGTTTGTGTGTTCGCATGCATGTTGCAGGATATTCTTATCCTTTATTTTTTTTTTTTGATCTTCGAGTTTTCCTAGTAATTTTCAAAGAAGTATTTTTCAAAAAATTTCTGAAAGCATACCTGTTCTCAGAAGCATTTCCAATTTAACTTTGTCGAGCACATTTGAACATTATTCAATGGATACCGGCACTATATAAATTTGATTGATTGATAATTATTGTAAATTATGGGCTACTTAAATGTTCACCAATCTTTGCTTACAGTAGGCCTACTTTGTAGACAGGAATTACTATAAAAAGTATTTGAAACCTGGCATACTGTACACAAAGAGCGGTTTGCTCAGCAAATGGCCTTAAGTGACATTTGCTTAATAATTTTTAGTGCATGATTTTTATTTAGAATTGTGCCTCATGAGAGAATGACCGAGAATATCTGTCATATCAAATATTTCTTGTCTCTCGAGGCACAATGCCTTCGCCTGCATTGAGCAAACGGCTCACTCGTAGTCGACGTATCAACTGGATTGCTATATATAAAACACTCAATTACATGGCCAGCCCATGTAAGACGTGGGCAGGGTGGGGGCTAGCCATTCCATGATGAGCGATGTGAGAATAGGTTCAATAAGCATTCATCACCCTTATCGTATGCAGGCAAGGAGACTGTAGAGCAAACTAAATAAGAACATACCGTCTAAGTGGACTGCTCTCACATACTGTATACCAGGCTTGAGAATATTTTCACTATGCAATAGTGGCACTGGTATGATATACTACTGTACCGTAAAGCCTACTTAAACAGAATCACAATTCAAGCTGCTGTTTTTCTTCTGTTCTAAAGAGTTCTTGGTGCATTTCACCTCAAAAGCATTTTTCAATGGATTTTCCTTTTGCATTTTAATCACAAGAGCTACTTTAGATCATTGATGATTATACCAGAACCTTGTCATCACACTTGCTGTTAAACTTCCTGAGTTTGACTTAATAGTTGGTTTGTATTTTAACTCTTTTAGCCTTGGTTACTGTATGTTGTGAATGTAGGTTAGACATATTGAGATTCAAATAGTAAGAAAACACCTGTTTGGTGCTCATTGTCAGTTTGATAAATACAACACTTTTAAAACAATGGCACACAGTTTTACTTTGGAATGAATGAAACAATCTTCAATAGATAAATAAGTTTTATTCATTCAATAATTTTTGTAAATTCTATGTTGTTTACATCTCACACACATTCCAGTAAACATGTATAAAACTTTACAGGCTATTCTGTATGGTATTCCCTACCCCCTTATTAAACACCTGTTGAGGTATATTTCAATTATGATATGGGTACTGTACTATACATGGTAGGATATATGAGTGATGTGGAACAAAATTGGGTAGTGGCTGTATTACCATTCCAATAATTTTTGTAAATTCTATGTTGTTTACATCTCACACACATTCCAGTAAACATGTATAAAACTTTACAGGCTATTCTGTATGGTATTCCCTACCCCCTTATTAAACACCTGTTGAGGTATATTTCAATTAGCTTTATCAACTTCCCCTAGTGCGTCCTGATTAGTACAATTTGACGTTTACCATCACTGCTTAAATCGATAGCATAGGAAGGATTAAAGGGGGCAGCAATACTTGATATATATGTATGCACTATAGGGGGCAGTATATTACATAATTATTTTGGTTCAAAAACTTATGTTTACTCAGGTCATGATAAGAGAATATTATACCTGACATGAGATGTGTGCCTATTGTCTGTAGACAAAAAAGTAAGGAATATGGTCTTGGTGTACAGTAGACTGTTCCAGACTGCTCCAATAACTTCTTGTTTAAATATTTGTAAAAAGTATATTAAATTTAATCTTGTTAAAATGAATTTATAGCCCTAACGTCTGCTCTTTTAATAGGGCTATTAATAAGGCATTATTACAAATCATATATTAATTGCATGCTACCAAATTTTATTGTAAAAATATTAAATACTGTAAATGTTGATTTATATTTTAAAATTCAGCTCTACTTTATGCATTACAATTATAATGGCTGTCTCTTATACACATCTAGATGTGTATAAGAGACAGATATTATGCTTCTGTAACGTTAGAATTACCTCCATTTGCTTATTATTTTCCATGAATGTCCTAATTGTGCTACCTTGAAAACTGGAACTCAGGAGAGAATAATTAGAATCCTGTTTGGAAAAAATGAAAAGAAAATTGTCACCATGCATGAAGTAAACAAGGAAACGTTTCTATACAAACAGATTACCAAGAAGTCCTTTGAGAAAGTTTGATAAATTCTGAATACAATTCTCAACAAAGGTCAACATGGTGAGTGATTCTGTGTTGCTGCGAAGGTTGTCACTTTTGGAGAAAACAATTAAAATCCTGGTGGAATTGGAAAAAAAAAAAATCCCTCTCGGGCAGTTCAGATTACCTCACTGCTGAAACCTATAGGTAATTTGGAAATGTATGGCTTTACTGGTATTAAGGCTTTAGAGAATTCTAATAAAAAGTTTTGATTTCAATTAGTTTGCTCTAAATTTAGAAATGTTTTAATCATTTCTGTGAGTTGTCATGATTAATAAGAATAGTCATGGGAACAATTAATTATAATAATGGATCTTAATACTTTAAGCTTAATCACAATGAGGTACAGTACAGAATAGTTTAGGATTTTTTATTTTTGGAAGGATGAATATTTTTAATAGTTTTAAAAGTGGTATTCCGACAAATTCACATGTCATGAATGAATAAAGTAGGCCTACATCTGACTTCATATCACAGCCATTGACACAATGAAAAGAATGGAAATTTCAGGGTGTTTTATGGTATAATGTAGACCTATTTTTAAAGCATGGAATTATTAATGCACTTTGGGTCACCCAACTAGCATACTTACATGTAGTAATAAGAAAAAGTTATAGTTAGGATATTGGAAATATTTTATTCCTGAGATTTAGCTCGTTTGAGTTATGATAGTTTTAAATGTTGACAATGAAAAGTATTCCAGATCTGCTGTACATATAAAAGATCATGGTTTAACTATCTTTTTATCAACTGAAACGATTTGCTTTTTTATGCTGTTTCATTTATTCATGTAGATTGTAAAATCTCACTACACTATTGATTTTCGTAAGAGTATATTGATGACTACAAACGTCTTACGGTCAAAGAAGTTAAAATGTAATCCCAAACACAGCAAACTATAATAAATCAACTAGACGTTTTCAAATAATTCTCATTCCTGTAGGTATTTCCAACGCATTAATTATCACGCTTTCTCTCCACGCTTTCTGACAAATGGATGAGTCATGTATGGTTCCCATGGTTACTGCTTCTCAACTGACCAGCCTATTTAGTTTTTAAAGATGCATAATCAGTAAATGCCGCATATTACTAATAAATGTTGATCGGTTTCATGGATCCTGCATGGAATTTATGGAAATAATGCAGAACATTTGTGAATCATTTTTTTTTTGTGTGGTTTATTTGACCTGTCCTGTACTGTGCTTTCCAGAATCTTATTGAAATAGAAGTTTATAATTTTGTATGTTGCTCACCAAAATTGTTTTACAATATGTCACCTTGTTTTGGTTTGATGGAAAATATCTTGGCATTCATTGCATTCTGAAGAAAAGTAATTCTATGCACGCTGATGAAGTGTGTCTCAATCTACAGTAGATTAATAACATGTGATATAATGATAATCGCACGGTAGACAGATAATTTTAAACCAGCATAGAAGAATGCCTACTCATCTTCCATGAGGCTTGGGTTGTTTTTTTTTACATTGTATTAGTGATTCCTTTTAGGCTCTGGAGATGTTGGCTAAATATTCAGTATGGTTTGTTCTTCCTTAGGGACCATAATATAGCTGTACTACAGTAAAAAATGTAACAAAGATGACTTATATCAACCCCCCCCCCCACACTTTGAACACAAAATTGGGCCGACTTTTATTTTATTTTTGGGGGTAGGGGCCTTATACCCAGGAGTCACCTTTTAATTTTTTTAGAGGATTTGTAAAAAAGTACGTCAGCTAAGCTAATCATCCAAATCATAACCTGGGCTTTTGACCGAATAAAACTTGTACATAAAATTGGGCATATAGTACAGTGGGGGGTCATGGGCCTATACCTGAGGTGGACTTTAATACCAAGGGAACTACAGTAAAGTCATTGATTTTTTACTATAGACTGCTAAAAAAGAAATTTGTTTCTATTTTAAACAAGCCTTGTTTTGTTTCAGTGGTTTGTGTAAATCATATTGTATTGTTGACACACGTTTCATTGATATTTACGTTGATTAATTTAAGTGGTTTTTTTGTTCATGCAAGGAAAAAATGTTCCTCCATACAGCTTTGTTACAACAGTGCACTTTAATTATTATGCATACAGAGTACACACACATATTACTAAGGTGGGGAATACAAAGACTAAATAGCTATCAAGGTT